TCTCCAAACTTGCTATTCTGCCTGTCTTTCCCCCCAAATAATCCCGGTTTCCTTACATCTTCATAGCAATATAAACAAACACAATTTCTGTATAAGCATGGCTTAATTCTTTTACTGTTGAGTACACATGGATGATTTGGGAATGCTTTTGTGCTTGACATAGGAAGGATTTGATTATTTAAAAAAAATTTCTAGTAGTTGTTGTTTCAACGGCTGCTTATCTGTGTAGCTCTGAGGATATTCCCTGCCTCCCACTCAGCTTTGCAATATGCTGCTGTGTCCCTTATTGCAACGGGTTACAACGGATTATTGTTTTTGTTATTATCAACATTTTGCGCATTATTGAGCGACTGAATAATCATTTATGGAATCAGCTGTTCATTTATTTCCCTGGAGTTAGGTTCGCATGCGAGGATTTTTGTGCTGCTATACTTGCACATTATATATTAATTATAGTTCATTCCTTTACTTTGCTTCTAGTTCATCATTCCAAGAATAGCTCACATGTGTGTCATGGGAGCCCTGTTTTTAAAGTTACTGCAGTCTCACCAACACCATCTTGAACCCATCTTTTTTATATATTCCCTCCAACCAGCCTTCAAATGCATCTACACTGTAGAATTAATGCAGTTTGAGACCACTTTTACTGCCAAAGCTCAGTGCTATAGAATTCTAAGGTTTGTGGTTTTACAAGGTGTTTCTCTTTCTCTGCCAAAGAGTGCTGATGCCTCACCAAACAGCAAGTATTATTCCATAGCAGTGAATGGTGGCTATAGATTCAGTTAAAGTGATGTCAAATTGTGTTAATTCTAGAGGTAGCTTTGGTGTGCTCTTTGGCCTCAGCACTTTGGACCCACAGAAGCCTCCAAACATTTACAAAGGCAGTGTCTCATAGATTGTGACTCCATAAACCAAATGGATTATAATCAAAGCATGTGTCACCATGGCTATGCTACCATGTCCTATGCATAGTGCATTTTGGTGTCTCTTCTTCTATCCAAATGAGCATGGTCAACCAAGAAACAATGACCACCCTGTAGAGGTACAGGAAATAGAAGTCTTCTGATTGGTCTTCTATTGGAAATTCCATAACCTATTGTAAATAAGTGCACCATACCTTTATTGAAAAGGTAAAAATGATGTCACATTCGTTTGGCAAATGTGAATCTCCATGAACATGTGGAGACTGCTTTTTGAAAACCACTAGCATGACCTTGTTAGAAGTCAATTCTTAGAACAAGTGATATTCATAAACATTCCTGTAATGGGTTGTTGTAGGTTTTTCCGGGCTATATGGCCATGTTCTGGAGGCAATTTTTCTCCTGACGTTTCGCCTGCATCTATGGCAAGCATCCTCAGAGGTAATGAGGTCTGTTGGAACTAGGAAAAATGGGTTTATATATCTGTGGAATGACCAGGGTGAGACAAAGGACTTTTGTTTGCTGGGGCTTCCTGTAATGGCACACAGGTAACTCAGCTGTTAGACTGAAGAACCATTTCTTTAAACTGTCAAGGATAAAGACATGCCACTACAAAAATATATTTGGCTAGCAGAGGATGGTTGCTTCTTTGAAGTAGAATTGGCGGTTGCAATTGCCCAAAAAATATACGCTCCCTTGAAATCTCTTAGTTAAAATATGCACTCAAGAGACAAAATAAAGTAGTCTTCTTTAAAAAAAAATAACATTAGGTTTACTAATAAACTTCTTGTATATATTCAGCATACTAGTCCATAGTCCAATGTCTTTAAGTATAGTTGTAATCCAAACTGTATAACTATATAACTGTACTCACTGGAGTCTGAAAGGAGACAAACTGCTTCCACCTCCATTGAGGTCTAAAAGCATACTGAACACAAAATGGACTCCTGAGTCTGCACATGTGGGTACAGTTAAAAAGTTAAAAACTAAATGTTCTTTGACCAGTAGCTGACCACTTGGAGTGCCTCTGGTACAGTTGATCATCCACATTTGTGGGTTTCATTTCTACAGATTCCATTGATTTCGCTGATATGTTCTACCTGGAAATTCCTTGAGAAAAAACTTATCTTGGCATTTATAAATCTTATAACACAATTTGATGGTCAACTTCTGATGGAGGTTGATTATAGAGTCATGCTGGAGGACATAGAGATTTGGTCTCTCGAGTTTTAAAAAAAGTAACATTTTAATTCACATTTTCAGAGGCCCTTTACTTCTAACCCCAGTGAATATGGAGCCCTACTGTATTAATAAAACACCAAGTCAGAAATGGCAGTGTAAAGCAAACTTAAATTGGAAACCTTTTATAAATTATCAATAGAAGTGCAACTTCTACCAATATTGATTAAAAGATCCCTCCTTCAACGAATAGTTAATTGTCAAATTAACTCAATAAAGGAAGGATTTTTTTCATTTCTCTTTTGAAAGACATCTTCACAGTTTGCAAGCGATCACCAAAATGCCTTGTATGCCATCAGATTGAAATTTATGGTTTGATGAGATGCCAGCACTCTTTGGCAGAGGAGCCCAAGACCCTGTAACATTATGATGTTACATGTTTAGCCTGAAGAAGAGAAGGCTGAGAGGAGATATGATAGCCATGTATAAATATGTGAGAGGAAGCCACAGGGAGGAGGGAGCAAGCTTGTTTTCTGCTTCCCTGGAGATTAGGATGCAGAACAATGGCTTCAAACTACAAGAAAGGAGATTCCATCTGAACATGAGGAAGAACTTCCTGACTGTGAGAGCCGTTCAGCAGTGGAACTCTCTGCCGCGTGTGGTGGAGGCTCCTTCTTTGGAAGCTTTTAAACAGAGGCTGGATGGCCATCTGTCAGGGGTGCTTTGAATGCAATATTCCTGCTTCTTGGCAGGGGGTTGGATTGGATGGCCCATGAGGTCTCTTCCAACTCTTTGATTCTATGATTCTATGATTCCCATAATTCCATACCATTGAGCCATGGCAATTAAAGTAGTGTCAAACTGCATTAATTCTACAGTGCAGATGCAGCCATAAGTGTCAGGCTGCAGAACCAGAAGATCCGTGCCATGTATTTTGCATTGGACTGAATTATTCTGGGCTGCAGAGACAGTGTCAAGGGCTGGAGCGCTCCTCCATTTTAAAACAAAAACAATGCTCTACTCCACACATAAGATTAGCACATCTTGACATATTATATTAGGGTGCTTGAGAAGTAAGAGTCGGCTTGTTAGTTGTGTGGAAACAGCGGCAAACATTTCAGCCTGCTAATTGCAGACTAAAGAGCTGGAACCTACTAATAAGTACATGATGCCTGGTGGTGGTTATGGATCTTCCATGGAACTAGGTTCAGTGGCTGCAGTCCTGTGAAATATGCCCTGTGTAGAGAGGCTAAGGCCCTTTGATGTAACTGTGAGAATTAAGGTGCATCTACACCGTAAAAGTAATGTATTTATGTGTCAAAAGCATTGCATAAATAAGTATAAAACCGATGAAATAGAGGGTGCAAGCAGCTAAATAATTTTAGACTAAAAGCTGGCAACAGGGACCGCATTGTCTGTAGCTTTAATCCGTTATTCCTCTGTGCATAAGGCAGGGCATTGTGGGCAAGCAAACAGGTGTGGAGTTGTTTGTTCTGCTCCATAGTCACACAATTATTCGAGGCAGTGCCATTTTGCCAGGTTGTCTTTTGATCTGCTCACTCCACTTCTGAGTCTGTTCAGGGACTTCCAAATTGCCCATTGTTGGTTTGCCCTGAAGACCCTCGTGGAGGGCCATCCAGTTGGAATTGTCTGGTTTTTCTGCCAGACTGATACTCTTTCTGTTGTTGGGGAAACATTATGAGAAGTGGTGGTTCTTATGAAGCTTTTCCTTGATTTGAGTCTACTGGGAGGAGGCTGATAGCCATGTAGTGGGCAGCTTTCACAGTCTTCAACCTTATTTCTCTCACAGTTAGCAGCAACTTCCCATCGCACATCAGAGGGACAATGCCAGCTAGCTTATAGAGCAGGCATCACCAAACCGTGGCCCTCCAGCTGTTTGGGCCTTCAAATCCCAGAATTCCTGACACTTGAATAAGCTTGTTAGGGCTTCTGGGATTTGGAGGCCCAAACAGCTGGAGGGCTGCAGTTTTGGGATGCCTGTCATAGAGTCTATCAACAGGTGTAGGTTTGAGACACCCACAAAAGTAATTAGTTTGACTCCATTTTTAACTGCCATGGTCCAATGGAATTGTGGGCTTTGTCATATCATAGAATCATAGAGTCGGAAGAGACCTTGTGGGCCATCCAGACCAACCCCCTGCCAAGAAGCAAGAAAATCGCATTCAAAGCAACCTTGACAGATGGCCATCCAGCCTCTGTTTAAAAGCCTCCAAAGGAACAGCCTCCACCACACAATTTGGTGAGGCACCAGCAGTCTTTGCCATATAAAACTGCAACTCCATGGCAGTTAAAATGATGACAAAATGCATGAATTTTATAGTGTTTAGGCATTTTTAGTAAACAAATGGGAAATCAGGATATTATTCAAAAGGGAGGAAAGACAGTGTAGCATGATAGTTAGAGTGCTAGAAGATTATTTAGGCGATCCTGTTCTACATTCGTTAGGTGACGTTGAACCAGTCACTCTCTTTTGTCAATCCAATCAGACGATACAGGTTTGTTGTGGGGAATAAGTGAGGAGAGATACGTAGGTGTGACCATGAACCTATTAGAGGAGACAGCAATCTAAATGTTGCATCATGGAGACATAACATGGAGTTCCCTTAGGTAGAACTACACTTCATCTCCTCCATCCTCTAGAAGTCAAACCTTTTTTTTCTGTTGCAGCTATTTACTTGTCAGATAAGAGCAGTGAGAGAGACAGAGAAGTGTCTAGTCATCCATCAACCCGGGAAGTATAAGTCCAAATATCAGGCCTTGGTGGCTAGGGTTGCTGAGTGTTGCTCTCCAATCGCATCTGAAACATTTCACAACCTCAATTCCTATCTTACTGCTTGTTCCACACTCCTTGAAGTATAACAGATTGTGAGTGATCCAAGATTTATGTCTATTTTTTAAAATGTTTATTCATTTATTTCAAATATTTCAATTCTGAGTTTGCAGGCAAGCCTTCCCAAGGCAATGCAAGCGCATAGTTAGGAACATACAATACAATTCATACATGTAATACAAATGAAAGAAATGTAACAGTTCAATACAACTGTACAGTCTAAGAGATGTTGGCAAAATATGAGTAAGAAGAGCCATTAGCAGAACAGAACCACTCCAAAGCCAAGATCCTACATAGTTGAGTATAATATCAGAGTTCTGCATGTGTGTCTTTGGAGGAATGTCTGACTATGCCCCCATAACCATATGCAGACCAAAGACATCTTACACTCAACCCTACTAGAGTCCTCCAGAAGTCTCATCAAATGATGTCATCAAACTGCATCTGCTGACCAGAATAGTCCGGTACATCTCCAATCCTGCTTCTGTCCACCAGCAATGGAATGGCAGTGAATGGTAGCTGTCACACCAAAGTAAGTTGAGAGGTCATTTGATTGTTGTAAAGAGTGGGTGAAAATATCAACCTCTGCAATAATCAGAAAAATACATATGCATGCATAAGGTGAACTTACACTTGTGGTTGTCAATAACAAGTTGTCACCCGATGTCACAATTGAGCCCATCTGATATTGCAAAAAACAAAAACACACATTCAGAAGATGGTGCAAAATTAACATAGTAAGGCAGAATATTGGTCAATCCCTTCCAGTATTGTCAGTCTACTGCTATGTCAGACTTCATGACATACTTTGATGGCAAGATAACTGCCTTGTGGACCTGGTAGTGCAGATAGATGGGAACCTCTAGGATATCTCTCATAATCCTTTACCATTGACCACATTGGCTTGGAAATATGTGATCCCCCAGATGTTTTGGATTTCAGGTCTAACAAGCTGCATCCCATGTAGCCAATGGTAAGGGACAATGGAAGTATACAACACCACATGAGTCATAGCATCCCAACTCTCAGTTTAGAGGAAGTCATTGGACATATTGACACAAAAACATGTATATTATTTGCTTTTCGAATAGGCTGATCCCAATGGCCAATTAGACTAGATTAACTCATTGGTATGACAGTAAACAAATTGCTTTGAGATGTGCTGATTCAAAAATTCAACAGCTAATTCAATGAGCTTGCTGTAGTTGAGACAAACCAATATGATTCAAGACAATATCATCATCATCACCACCACCACAACCATCATCACCACCCATTTGCCTTTTCCCAAAAGTAACAAAAGCATTGTACAAAAATTAAAACATGTGCAGATAAAATACATACAGATAAAAATATACAATAAATCATTTGAAACAAAATTAAAAACCATTGAAAAACACTTTCATTAAATGGCAAGACACATGGCAACATAGCACACTAAGGGCAGGAATAGACTTAAGGGGCTGATTTTATTAAACATTAGAAAAGACTTCATGACAATAATAATCCAGCAACGGAACCCAAAATCTGTTTTAGTAGTGGACTGATTTAGTAGTGGAGATCTCAAGACAAAGCTATTAGGCAGCCATCTTGTAAAGATGACTTGCATCTGCTGCATCAACCAAAGGACTGCCCAAGATGGACAATATGGTCTTCTTTCTTTATGAGCCTCTGTCTCCATGACACTCGTCATTGTCTAAACCTCTATGGCTTCATTACTTTTTTAAAAAATGATAAAAGACTCAAACAATGTTATGTTTTACAGAGTTAAAATGCCCAATCATTCTGATAATTATTTTCAATTTGACTGCAAGAACACAAGACTTCACAATCCTAGATAGACTATTCTATCTAGGGTTCATGTTCCCCATAGAAGAATAATCAACCAGATGCCTCTATTACATTTGTTGTTGTTGTATGCATTCAAGTCCTTTCTGACTTACGGTAATCTTAAGGCAAACCCATCATGGGTTTTTTGAGGGGGCAGGCTGAGAATGTGGGACTTGCCTCTGGTTACCCAATGGGTTTCCATGGCTGAGCAAGAAATCAAATCTTGGTCTCTAGTTGTAGTCCAGTGCTCAAACCACTACACCACACTGATTCTATAGGATCATATGTAGGGCAGGAATATAATGGCCCATTTCTGTTGCTTGCTCCCAATCTCTGGTGTCCAGAAGTATGCTGCCTTTCAACATGAAAGCTCCATTAAGATGTCATGGCTAATAATCATTAACTGGTCCTTTCTTCCATTAATTAGTTTGTTTCATCCTCTCCAGAAGTGATTTACAAGACTGTCCCTTGGTTAACCTGAAACTAGATGTCTTCACTTCATTCACTTCACTTAAATACAAATTTGTTGTATTTATTTTATTTCAAACCTATATCTTTTCAACACAGCAAAGACAATAGACATCATCAACTGTCCTGATATGGAGCCCCCGGTGGCGCAGTGGGTTAAACCCCTGTGTTGGCAGGACTAAAGACCAACAGGTCGCAGGTTCGAATCCGGGGAGAGGCGGATGAGCTCCCTCTATCAACTCCAGCTCCTCATACGGGGACATGAGAGAAGCCTCCCACAAGGATGATAAAAACATCAAATCATCTGGGCGTCCCCTGGGCAACGTCCTTGCAGACGACCAATTCTCTCACACCAGAAGTGACTTGCAGTTTCTCAAGTTGCTCCTGACATGACCAAAAAAAAACCTGTCCTGAATCTATCAGTATAGTCAGCTATGCTTTTTAATGACTGTATCAACCTTATGACCAAACTACTGCTATTTCACATAGGTCTTGTACAGGGATGTTACTCCTCAAGTCTTAACTGAAGGCTACATCCCAGTGATAGTATAAATGTTTTGAAAATTGTCTTGTTTCCATAAGATACTTTTATTTGCAATCCAAATCAATGAGAATTAAAAGTAGTTTGCTCTGACTAACTCATGTCCATTAACAACTTTCCTCAGTACATTTCAAACATGCTGGACTGCAGCTCCTATTTTCCCCATCCATGACAGCTGGGAAGAGTAAAGTTGTGGACTGACAAACCTAAGTGGGCCAAGTTTGTGAAATAGTGGGAATATAATAATACAGATAACTACCTCCTACTGAATAAAGGTTACTGATCTAGTTCTAGCATATGTAGTAATTAGTTGGTGCCCCCAATGGCACAGTGAGTTAAACCACTGAGCTGCTGAACTTGCTAACCTTTGTCGCAAGTTTGAATCTGGGGAGCAGCGTGAACTCCCACTGTTAGGCCCAGCTTCTGCCAACCTAGCAGTTCAAAAACATGCAAATGTGAGTAGAGTAATAGGTACCGCTCTGGCAAAAAGGTAATGTCGCTTCAGGCAGTTATGCTGGCCACATGACCCTGGAAGTGTCTACGGACAACGTCAGCTCTTTGGCTTAGTAATGGTGATGAGCACCAACCCCCAGAGTCAGACATGACTGGACTTAATGTCAGGAGAAAACCTTTACCTTTACCCTAGTAATTAGTTATTATGATCTCCAGCGAGAAGGTAACGGCGCTCCATGCAGTCATGCTGGCCACATGACCTTGGAGGTGTCTACGGACAATGGCAGCTCTTCAGGTTAGTAGTGGAAATGAGCACCAACCTCCAGAGTTGGACATGACTTGACTTAATTTCAGGGGAAGACCTTTGCCTTTATCCTAGTAATTAGTTATTATGATCTCTTTGTTTTACTGTATGTTGGCATTGAATCTTTGCTATTAATATGTTGTAAACTGCCTTGAGTCTCCCCAAGGGTAAGGGAGGCAGCATATAAATACAGCAAATAAATAAATAAATAAATATTTCAGTACTTGTTTACATTCATTGGAACAGGAGCTGCTTGCGAGCTTCCAGTATGGGGTCCTTCCAGTACTCCATAGATAGGCCAGGAACCAAATTTGGAAATACAGCTTCTTTTGACTGCCTCTGAGCCACAGCCCTTGTTCCGAAATGTTCTAGAAGACCAGACAGTGGAAGCACCAAAAAGAATGTTGTCACTCACCAATATTGTTCACAAACTAACGTCCAGCAGTGTTAGCCCATTTCGTTCTAATTATCTGATTCATCCTGAGAAGATACTGTTGAGTCAGGTCACTAAGTACAGATGGATCAACAACAGAGACAGAGACAGCATGTCCAAGACGACCTTACTGAGAATAAAATCATAGAGTTGTAAGAGACCACAAAGGCCATGCAGATCAACCGCATTCTGCCATGTAAAAATACAAAATCAAAGCATTTCCAACAGGTGGCTATGCATCCTATGTCTAAAAATCTCTGGAAATCTTGTATGTCTGATCAGAATTTGAATCCAGGTGTCCCAAATCTGTGTCATAAATATGACATTTATCAGATTTGGGAGGTTGAGAAGAAAACTGTAAGGAAGAGTCATTGGATCATCTATTAAACCAACTATCTGTTATACAGTGGTTCGCCGGGCAATTCTGCCATACATGCCAGATGTTGAGGAAAAGAGTCCAGCAACGTTCAGATAGCCACAGGATTCTGACCCCTAGGTAGTATTCTGAAGTAAAGTTGGTGAAATGTGGGCTAGACAATGTTACTGTTAGAGGCATTTGTAATTGGTTGAGCGGCTGAACCCAAAGGGTGCTCAACAATGGCTCCTCTTCATCCTGGAGAGAGATGACTAGTGGGATGTCACAGGGTTCTTGACTTGGGTCCAGTACTATGATGGATTATGGAATAAAGGACAAATGATAGGATAAGGATTCGGAATGACCTTAACAAATCAGACAGCTGGGCCAAAACTAACAAAGGGCATTTCAACAAGACTTCAGAGGTATATAGTGGGGAACACCTGACTTGATAGCAGTACATGTGAAAGAGATCTCATACACCACAATCTGAACATGAGTCATCAGTGTAATGCGGCAGCTTAAAAAGCAAACGTGATTCTAGCCAGCATCAACAGATGCAGTGTCTAGATCGAGGAAAGTCATAGTCCCACTCTATTCTACTTTGGTCTGACCTTACCTGGAATACTGTGTCCAGTTCTGGGTATCACAATTCAAGGAGGATATTGACTAGCTGGAAGATGTCCACAGAAGGACAACCAGAATGGGTTTGGAAACCAAGTCCTATGAGGAACAGCTGAGGGAACTTGGTATGTTTAGTCTAGAGAAGAGAAGGTTGAGAGGGGACATAGTTTTGGCTAAATATTTGAAGGGGTGTCACATTAGAAGAGGAGGGGCAAACTTGTTTTCTGCTGTTCTGGAAACAAGGAAATTGATTCAAATTGCAAAAAATAAAATAATATTCCATTCAAACACTAGGAAAAAACTTCCTGAGCTGTAAGAGCTGTTCAGCAGTGGAATACGCTGTCTTGGAGCATGGTGGCATCTCCTTCTCTGGAGGTTTCTCAAACAGAGACATCTGTCAGGAGTCCTTGGATTGTGTTTTTCTGCATGGTGGAATGCGGTTGAACTGGATGGCCCTTGGAGTCTCTTCCAACTCTATGATTCTAGCACAGATAAAAGTAAATATTTTCCCTTGACATTAAGTCTAATCGTGTCCAACTCTGGGGGGTGGTGCTCATCTCAATTTCTAAGCTGAAGAGCCGGTGTTGTCCATAGACACCTCCTAAGTCATGTGCCCAGCATGAATGGATGGAGTACCATTGCCTTCTTGCAGAAGCAGTACCTATTGATCTACTCACATTTGTATGTTTTCAAGCTGCTAGGTTGGCGGAAACGGGATCTAACAGCGGGAGCTCACCATGCTCCCCAGATTCGAACCTGCAACAAAGGTTAGCAAATTCAGCAGCTCAGCGGTTTAACTCACTGTGCCATTGGGGGCACCAACTAATTACTACATATGCTAGAACTAGATCAGTAACCTTTATTCAGTAGAAGGTAGTTATCTGTATTATTCGAACCATCAACCTTTTGGTCATCAAGTTCGGCAGCTCAGCAGTTTAACCTACTGTGCCACCAGAGAATGCTGGAAACCCTTGGTTACAAGAAGGACATAAGATGAGAAAACAGAATAGAATACAGTGTCCTGAAAAATATTATTGCATTCCCTACCACCACCTTGTTTCAAAAATCTGTTTCCACCCTCCAATCTTTACCTGCACAACAACCTTGTAAAATTGAAGCAGCTGAGAGACAGTGACTAGTCCTAGGTCACTTTGAAAGCTTTGTGCTCCAAACTCAGGTTTCCTTAGGCCTAGCCTTGTCTTACATTCACTTCACCATATTGCCGGGATGGGCGTCTGGTCCATTCCAGCTCCTTAGGTTCTTATTGCATTGGTCTGTAGTATAAAATCCACCTGCAACCACACAATTCTAAGAGTTACTGGCTCTTTGAGATGCCAACTCCTAGGATCCCCCCTCCCCAAGTTTAAGGGGATTCTGAGGGTTGTGATCCAAAAGAGTAACTTCCCCCTAGCTCAGGATGGAAGAAAATACAAAAGTCTGAAGAAGAGAGTGGTTATGGAGAAGGAGGGTAGAGGGGTGAGGAAGAGAGGGAGAGAAAGGAAGAAAATCAAGCAAGGGAGGGAAGGAGGGAGGGCGGTTTGGGAAGAGGCTATTGCAAAGGTCTACCAGGGTCAAGAGATGCATCACCCGCGGGGGCTCCTCTCCCGAGTGGGTCCGGCTTCTCTGCTTCTCCTCTCCTCCACCTCGCAGCTCCAAGGGCGCTCCCTGGCGGCGTCGCGGCGATGCCCTTGTCCAGCCCCGGATGCTTTTTGGGGTAAGGGCTTTCTGATACGGGGGTTGGACAGACCCAGAAAGCCCAGACCGCAAAAAGACCCAGGGAAGACCTTGTTGCTGTTAGTGCCGCCCGCCTCGTCTCTTCTTGCCGCGGTGGGGAGGGAGGAGAGGCGGAGGGGAGCCCTCCTCTTCGGGCGACCTCTGGACCCGCAGCACCTGTTGGATATTTGGATTTTGCAGGCTGAGCCTCACCCCCTGCTTCCAACCAGCCTTTGAGGTCCAAAAGTAGGGGATCCTCCCTACAATTGGTTGGTTTCAGGCTTCCAAGGACTCACTCTGCAGCTCTGGGATTCAAGAAGGACACACCGGTTCCAGGCTTTCTTTCTTTGTCTCTCTTCTAATGTTTCTCTGGGTCTAAAGGCTTGGAAGATTGGCACTCCCTCATTCCCTATAGGAAAGCAGGAGACCTTCCTCTCCACCCTGCTGCCTCTCTTCCTCTCTTCCTTCCTTCTGACTGGGGAGCTCCCTGCTTTCCAAACGCCCACGCAGGCAATCACCAGCTCTGGGGAGGAGGGGGGATTTCTCCTTGCCCAGTCTCTCCCCACCCCACCTCCAGCAAAGATGCTCCTAAGACCAGCTCTTCTCTATTCTGTCCTATCTCACGCCCATCACTGCCTCTGCAGAAGACTAGACCCAGCCCAGCCCTCTCTGAAAGGCTCAAACCAAACCTCTCCCAACTCCTTCTTTCCTTGATTCTTCCTTTCCTTGGTCCTGGGAGGAAAGGGGTCACTCCACTTTCCTTCCCTCGCCTGTCAGATTCAACAATGGCATGCACATGTGGACTGAACCAGCTTACACACACACATATGTGTGTACACAGTCCCAGAGAAAGAGTGGCACAGAGAGGGTCTGGGTTCCTCTCCATCCCACTCTTGGAAGCACTGGTACTTTCCAGGAAAGATGAGATGCCACCAAAGCAAACTCTCTGCTGACTGGCAGCTGTTGTGGGGTGGAAATGCATGTACGACCGCGGTCCCTCCAGGAATGAGAGTGCACAGTCTTAAGCCTGGGCACACATGCGCAAGCAAACATACGGGTGCAATTGTGCCCTGAGCTCCCTAAAACACATCCTCCTCATTTTCCAGGCATACATTCAAACTGAAATATGCACAAAGCTGTGTTCGTACACAGGTACACATTTTTGTGTACACACAGGCCACAGCACACATTCATGTAAACACACATCTTTTCAATGTATTGTCGAAGGCTTTCATGGCTGGAATCATTGGGTTGTTGTAGGTTTTTAGGGCTATATGGCCATGTTCTAGAAGCACTCTTTCCTGATGTTTTGCCTGTATCTATGGCAAGCATCCTCAGAGGTTGTGAGGTCTGACCTCACCTCTGAGGATGCTTGCCATAGATGCAGGCAAAACGTCAGGAGAGAATGCTTCTAGAACATGGCCATATAGCCCCTAAAAACTTACAACGACTCTCTTTTTTTATCACACATATGCACTATGTGGCATATTTTCATTCTCTCCCAAATCTGTAAACCTACACACTTTTTATGATCAAAAAGTGCTTTCATGTCTGAAAACAAAACATGCAAACTACTCATTGTTCATCATGTGTGATGATTTCGCATGTCTGTCGCAGCATACATGCAGCGGAGAACCGTAACCAACTGTGGCTTCACAGCATGTGTATCTGCAGCAACAAATCTCAGCCAGATGAATCAGTGACCATTGCATATCATGCTTTGCAATTTGTTTGTATGCTTTTTCTGACATGCCTTTTTCATACATGAAACTTGCCATGCCAGAAAAGCACCTAGACGTACATCCTGCAAATCCTGCACGAGCGCATGTATTCACCCATGTCCACAACACAACACACTTTCACCCCAATGTACAGTCTTTGGTATACAGGGGCACGCATATTTTGTCTAGATGGAAGGAACCAAGTACTGAAACCATGGCAAAACATACGCACCCCAGAAAGCAGAGTCTGTGGGGAGATTACATACAAGCAAAGAAGGGCTGGAGAACTGTACACAGAGAGACATCCATGCAGGAGACAACTGTGGCCAGTGATGCATCTCAGTACACATACACACACAGCTCAGCTTCGAACTAACCATTGCTTCTGTCTCTTTGTGCAAAACACAAACACATACATACTGTACATTCCCTGACATACATTTTTGTTTTTTGCACTTCCCTTTTCTCAGTCTGTCGCAAGTCTACATAGAGAGGCATTATAGATCTGAAGGGTCCAAAAAAACTCCCACCAAATGACTAAGTCAGTGCCAGCTTCCTATGACTGTTGCCAAATGCTTTCCTTCTTTCTTCCCCAGCCCTCTAACCTTGCCAAAGTTCCCTAGAAGGACAGGGCTACCAAGTTGCCTGTCCTTGCTGTTCTCCTCTGCCTGTCCCTAGATGGGCAGGGGCTCACCTTCTCTCCCAAGGATGCTCTCCGTAGGGCAGGCAGAGGCTTCGAGGTGGAGGAGGAGAGGAGGAGGAGATGTGTCCACATCGCAGAGCTGCAGAGACTGCCGAGTCCCGCCCGAGACTCCAGCAGGCGAGTCACGAATCGGGGAAGGGAACTCCGGGCCCGAGCGTGACGCATCTGCCAGGCAGTCACGAAGCGCCTCTGATTGGGGAGAAAGAGGAGCCCTGGGGGGAGCGCCGGGCGCAGAGCAGGGAGGGAGGCAGGCAGGCAAGGAGGCAGAGAGGGAATGAGAGGGAAGGAAGGAGAAGGGGGAGGCAGGTGGGGCTCCTGAGCCCAGCAGAGCCCTGGGTACCATCAGCACCATGGACAGCTCCCTGTGCCCATCCACACACCTCCCGCTCCACGGACAGTTCCCCGTGGCTAGCAATACCTTTTCAGCACCATAGACAGCCCCCCCGTGAAATGGCAACCTGCCTTTCAGCACCATAGACAGCTCACTGTGTCTGTTGGTCTGCCTTCAGCACCATGGACAGCGGCACACATGCCCCTATTGGCCTCAGCTTCAACACAATGGACACTAGTTATAAAGGTATCAAAGGAAAGAAACTTAATCCTTTTACAAGGGAATGGAGGGGGCTAACCATAACCAAGTCATACTGTGGAAAAGAAAGCCACTGTAAAGGGATAGAGGGAGAAAACGTGGAGGCAATGACAGGCTTTGTATTTCTAGGTGCAAAGATTACTGCAGACGCAGGCTGCAGCCAGGAAATCAGAAGATGTTTACTTTTTGAGAGGAGAGCAATGATCACTCTCGATAACAATAATAAAAATTATTATTGACACAAAAGCACAGTGTGTCACAGCAAACGAGATTTATATGCTGGATCTGGTATCACAAAATCACAAGTCGAACACTTCCCAAGTGTCTAGGACAGTGTGATGTATTTTCGAATGATGCACGCAGATCCAAGTAAGGTGGCCTTTTGCAGTTGACAGATCATGATTTTATCGATGTTTATTGTTTCCAAATGCCGGCTGAGATCTTTTGACATGGCACCCAGTGTGCCAATGACCACTGGGACCACCTGTACTGGTTTATGCCAGAGTCTTTGCAGTTCAATTTTGAGGTCTTGATAGCAGCTGAATTTTTCCTGCTGTTTTTCCTCAATGTGACTGTCACCTGGTATGGTGACATCAATAATCCAGACTTTTTCCTTTTCCACAGTCATGATGTCTGGTGTATTGTGTTCCAAAACTTTGTCAGTCTAGATTCAAAAGTCCCACAGTATTTTTGCATGTTCATTTTCCACTACCTTTGCGGATTTATGATCCCACCAATTCTTTACTGCTGGCAGGTGGTACTTGTGATATAAGTTCCAGTGAATCATCTGGGCCACAGAGTTGTGTCTTTGTTTGTAGTCCGTCTGTGCGATTTTCTTGCAACAGTTGAGGATATGATCCATGGTTTCATCAGCTTCCTTGCACAGTCTGCACAGTCTAAAATGATTAGGGCTTTACCAGCAGCTGCATACGCAACTACAATAGAGTCCTGCTTATCCAAGCTTTGCTCATGCAACGTTCTGTATTGTCCAACACAGTCTGCCTCCTGCCTGGATCCACAGCTGTTTCAATACAAAGCAATGTTTTGATGCTAAATTTGTAAATACAGTATAGGTTATTGTATATTGTATATTGACCTTTTTGTCAATTTGTTGTAAAACATGATGTTTTGGTGCTTAATTTGTAAAATCATAACAAAATTTGACATTTAATAGGCTTTTCTTTAATCTCTCCTTATTATCCAACATTTTTGCTTATCCAATGTTCTGCCGGCCCATTTATGTTGGATAAGTGAGACCCTACTGTATAGAAGTACACCTAGTTACACAGCACTTGCTGAATGTCCTTAACATTTTTTCCATAACCAACTACTAGTAGATATATTTGATGTAATTTAATAATTGATGTAATTGTTTTGAGATGTTTAAACTCTCTAGTTTTTAGTGTAGATGTTTACCAATTGTATGTTATTTTAAGGCATTGAATTGTTGCTGATATGTGAAGTCGCTCTGGGTCCCTCTCGGGGTTGAGAAAGGCAGGATACAAATATGGTAAATAAATAAATATATTAGGAATACAATATTCCCATTGGATTCTTTTTTATTTTAATTCAATGTTTTTAAATTGTAAGGACATCATTGTTAGGATACCAATAAATCACTGGTAGAATCATAGAGTTGGAAGGACCTGCGGTGATGCAATGTGTTAAACCCTTGTGCAGCTGAACTGCTGACCTGAAGGTCGGCAGTTCAAATCTGTGAGATGGGGTGAGCTCCCATCGGTCAGATCCAGCTTCCCATATGGGGACATGAGAGAAGCCTTCCAGAGGATGGTAAAACATCTGGGCATCCCCTGGTCAATGTCCCTGCAGACAGCCAACGCTCTCACACCAGAAGCAACTTGTAGTTTAGCAGGTCATTTCTGACATGATAAAAAAATAGATTTGGAAAAGAAGGGCCATCCAGTCCAACCCCATTTCTGCCAGGCAGGAACACACAATCAAAACATCCCCAATAGATGGCCATTCAGCCTCTGCTTAAAAACTTCCAGACAAGGCGACTCCACCACACTTCTAGACAGTATATTCCATTACCAAACAGTTCTTACTGCCAGGAAGTTCTTCCTAACGTTTAGGTGGACTCTTTTTTCCTGAAATTTGAATCCATTGCTGTGTTTCTTAGGTCCTTTCTACACTGCCATATAATCTAGATTATCAAAGCAGATAATTCACATCATCCGCTTTGAACGGGGTTATATGCATCTACATTGCCAGATAAACCAGTTCAAAGCAGACAAACTGGATTTTCTATGGCAGTGTAGAAGGGGCCTAAGTCTCCAGAACAGCAAAAAGCAAGCTTGCCCCTCCTCAATGTGACATTATTTCAAATATTTGAACATGGCTATCATATCACTGCTCCACCTTCTTTTCTCCAAGTGAAACATACCCAGACATATTAAGATTAGAATATTCCTATTACAGTCTTGCTTTTTAAATCATATTTTTAAAAGTAGGGATATGAATCAAGTAAACAACAATGTCTTTGCACACATAAATATACTTGAACAACATTTGATATTAATAAATAATAATCATTCTTTTTAACCCGCCCTCTCTTCCTGAGGGGACTCAGGGTAGCTTCCCTTTATACAACTAATCACACAATATCTCTCACCAATATACCTCTTTAACTAACTTTAAATACAAGATGCATGCATAGTTATATATACCATTTGTTTTGAAAGAGAACTTCCTGATTCCCTTTTCTTGGTTTCACTGTGGTTCAATATTTTTCTTCCACCTTATATTCAGCAAGTTATTTACTTCATTGAAATATTAATATCCCAATAGTTTATACCTCCAAACCTCTACATAAAGCCTTTTCCTCTTCCTCAGATATATATTAATAGAAAGATTTCTGATGTTTTATCGTCCAGTGATTTCTCCTTCAGCGAAGTTGGATCTTTTTTTAATTGAACACACAAGCTACTTTGTGAAATATGGACATGTGTTTTTCAAAAGTGAGAAAATGTTTTCAATACAATGGATATGGCTTTGTTACTTATATGCTATTCCTACCAAACATGTTTCTTTTTGAAATCAAAGTCATTGTTTAAAGATTATATGGTTATGACCTTACACTTACATGACTGAATGGAGTGAGACTTACTTCTGAATAAATATGTATAGCATCATGTTCTTCCGTGCACATTTATGCATGCCTACTCAGAAGTAAGCATCATTAAGTTCAATAGAATCTCTCCCTAAAGAAAAGAGCTGGCCATGTTTAGCCTGCATAAGAAAAGGCTGAGATGAGACATGATGGCCATGTATAAATATATGAGAAGAAGTCATAGGGAGAAGGGAGCAAGCTTGTTTTCTGTTGTCCTGGAGACTAGGACATGGAACAATGGCTTCAAACTACAGGAAAGGAGATTCCACCTGAACATTAGGAAGAACTTCTTAACTGTGAGAACTGTTCAGCAGTGGAACACTCTGCCAAGGAGTGTAGTGGAGGCTCCTTCTTTGGAGGCTTTTAAACAGAGACAGGATGGCCATCTGTTGGTGGTGCTTTGAATGTGATTTTCCTGCTTCTTGGCAGGGGTTTGGACTGGATGGCCCACGAGGTCTCTTCCAACTCTATGATCCTATGATTCTATGACTCTAAATATGTATTGGATTTCAGCCTCAGTGTTTCAAAATACAAGGAGGTACAAAGGACATAAAATAGACAATCATTTTAGCTTAGCATTCAAATAAGTTTCCTTGATTGGTTGGAGAGTTCATGAAAGAACATGAGGAAATAACATTAATGGAATATTTGTGTAACATTTTAGCCTCAGCTGAGCAAAATAACAACATTGTTGTTGTTGTTTCTAATGCTGGAAACTGTTTCTTTCTGGAAGTCAGTACAGTACAGAGTAAGAGCATCTGTACATATCATCTGGTGAGATACCATGCATTGTTTGTCTTTGCTTTTGTGAATCTTATTATGAACAAAGAAAAGAAATTAAGACTTCAGATTAGGTGAAATGTTCCTTGTCCTGCTTACACATGTATTTTGCTTACTAAGTCATGCAGATCTTTTTTGCTCTGTCCAGTATTGATGCTGGAAAGAAGGAGAATAATTTAGCCAATTGAATTGGGAAGGGAGAAGAAAGGGAAACAGAGAAATGTCAAAAGAGAGATCCCTTCCACTCAAAATCAAGACTTTATGAGACTGTTTGTGGATAGGGAACACAACAATGCAAAGGTACGAGGGTTGAATAAAAAGTAATGCCTCCACCTTCGTAACTCCTCAACAGATGGCAGTACTTGTATGCAGCAGGTACTGGCTTGTTCAGTAGACTCCCCTCTACAGTTCCATTTTGGCAGGAAGCTTTAGCATTGAACGGTTGTGTTGTTAAAGTGAGAAGGATAAAACCCTGCGCAGACAAACACTATATACAAATTATGTATGTCACACTCTTTCTTTGTCTCCTAACAGTGGTGTTTTAGCTAGTAACCTTCACCAGCAGAGTGCATCTCAGCACTTTAAAAAATGGTTCTGGATGTTTTATACATGTTTAACA